TTTGTAGTTAAAATTTTTCATTGTGGAAAATTTCAAATGTGTACAAAGCAGAGAGAATAGTAAAACCGGGACAATCTCCCCCAAATCAACCAACTCCACCGATTTTTACTTTTCCGCCAATCTTACCGACCGGACTGTCCAGTGGGGCTTTGCCACGTGGAGGGCTTCTGTATCCAGCGGCGGACGGGAGCCACCGGCTACTCGTGGCTGCTGTTGAGCCCTTGCTCTGTGGCTTCCATGGCTGACAAAGTGTAATTTCATTTACTTTTTATATACAGTAAATATTTTTAAAATATATTTTATTGATTTTTTTTCTTTTTTTTTTACAGAGAGAAAGGAGTGGGATAGAGAGTTAGAAACATTGATGAGAGAGAGCCATTGATCAGCTGCCTCTTGCACACCCGCTACTGGGGATATGCTCGCAACCAAGGTACATGCCCTTGACCGGAATCAAACCCGGGACCTTTCAGTCCGCAGGCCAACGCTCTATCCACTGAGCCAAACCGGTTAGGGCTATAAATATTTTTATTTAAAACTTGGATAGTCCTAATTATTCTTCTTTTCTTTTCTTTTTTTTCATTTTCATCGTTTTATTTTATTTATTTATTTATTTATTTTTAAATATATTTTATTGATTTTGTACAGAGAGGAAGGGAGAGAGATAGTTAGAAACATCGATGAGAGAGAGCCATCGATCAGCTGCCTCTTGCACACCCCCTACTGGGGATATGCCCGCAACCAAGGTACATGCCCTTGACCGGAATCGAACCCAAGACCTTTCAGCCCCCAAGCCGACGCTCTATCCACTGAGCCAAACTGGTCCTGGCTATTCTTTCAATTGTGGTAAAATACATATGACAAAATTTACCATTGTAGCCACTTTAAAATATTTTTTTCTTATTAATTGGATGGAGAGAGAGATAAACATCAATGATGAGAGAGAATTGTTGATTGGCTGCCTCCTGCACGCCCGCAGGAATCGAACCGTGACCACACCGGCTGGGCACTTTAGCCGTTTCTAAGCGTACAGTTCAGGGGCATTAAGTTGTGCAGCCGTCCCCACCGTTCCTCTCCAGAGCTCTTTTTATTTTGTGGAGCTGAAACTCTGCACCCCAATCCAAACCCCCCAATATCACCCGCCCCTGGCAGCCACCATCCTGCTTCCTGTGTGTGTGTGTGTGTGTGTGTGTGTGTGTGTGTGTACCACAAAGTAGAGTCGGTGGCACTTGTCTTTCTGTAGCTTATCGCGATGTACCCCGGGTCAGGGTTCCCTCTCTGAATGGTGTACACACCCCATCTTGCTCATCCGTCCGTTCATCTGTGGGCGGACAGGGGGTGTTCTGCGTCTGGGCCGCCGTGAACAGGGGCGCGCACACGCCTCCTCGGGGCCCTGGTGCCTCTGGATGTGCACCCAGAAGCGGGTTGCTGGGCCACATGGTGGTGCTATTTTTAACTTCCCGAGGAGCCGCCAGCCGGTCCTGCACGGCAGCTGTGCCGCTCGGCGTTCCCACCAGCCGTGCACAGGGTTCCCGTCTCCTCGTTCTCGCCACCACTGGCCATTTTCTGTTTTATTGACAGTAGCCATCGTAATGGGTGTGAGTGGTGTCTGTGGTTTTTTGATTGTTTTAAAAAATATATTTTATTTTTTACAGAGAGGAAGGGAGAGGGGGAGAGAGTTAGAAACATCGATCAGCTGCCTCCTGCACAACCCCTACTGGGGATGTGCCCGCAACCAAGGTACATGCCCTTGACCGGAATCGAACCCGGGACCCTTGAGTCCACAGGCCGACACTCTATCCTCTGAGCCAAACCGGTTAGGGCTGTGCCTGTGGTTTTTAAAATCTACTTTTACTTTCTATTTTTCTTTATTTATTGATTTGAGATAAACATCAGTTTGTTGTTCCATTTATTTACGCATTCATTGGTTGATTCCTGTAAGTGCCCTGACGGGAGTGGGTGGTGGGGAATGGGGGGTGGGGGGGGGTGTTGAACCTGCAACCTTGGCGTATTGGGACGATGCTCTAGCCAACTGAGCTACCTGGCCAGGGCCAGTGTCTGTGGTTTTGATTGCATTTTCCCTGATGAGTGACCTTGGTCATATTTTCATGTGCTTGTAGCATTTGTGTACCTTCTTAGGAGAAGGTCTGTTCAAGTCCTTTGCCCTGATTTCACTTAATTAACTTGAACTTTAATGTATATAGCCTCCTGTGGCTACCGGCTTGTCCAGCATACGTCTACATGCCCCCTGCACAGCCACTGATTCGATTCCTGCCCAGGGCACATGCCCGGGTTGCAGGCTCAATCCCCAGTGCGGGGCATGCAGGAGGCAGCCGATCAGTGAGTCTCTCTCATCACTGATCTTTCTCTCTCTCCCTCCCCCTTCCTTTCTGAAATATATATATATATATATATATATATATATATATATATATATATTTTTTTTTTTTTTTTTTTAATAGCTTGCTATAGTAGGTCAAACATTTAATTAGCTCACTCCGAATGGCTTGGCAGGGCCAGACCAAACTATTTCACGGGCCTTATGCAACCCGAGGGCCGGACATTCCCCACCCCTGGTGTAAAACACTCTTATGGGGGAAACATACTGTTATCCCCATTTTCCAGATGGGGAAACTGAGGACATGGAGGTCCAGAGAGGCGAAGTCAGCTGCCCAAGGTCACCCCGCCCCTGCGTGGGGGAGCAGGGAGTTGAGCCCCCCTAACCGCAGACCCATCACCCCACGCTGGACCTCTTGGCTTCAACCCAATGGGAGACAGATGCCAACCTGGGTGCCCAGTTGACAGGGGGACATCTGAGAGGAGCCCAGGCCTGCTTATCATTACATGTTGTTCTCTTTATTGTGGGACGTTTAAAAAATACACAAAGTATCCCTGGCTGATGTGGCTCAGTGGATAGAGCGTCGGCTTGTGGACTGAGGGGTTCCAGGTTCGATTCCGGTCAAGGGCATGGACCTTGGTTGTGGGCACATCCCCAGTGGGGGGTGTGCAGGAGGCAGTTGATGGATGTTTCTAACTCTCTATCCCTCTCCCTTCCTCTCTGTAAAAAATCAATAAGATATATTTTTTAAAATGTTCTCGAAGTCTGGAACCTCCTGCTACAGTCCGCTGTGGGTTTGGAGAGGCCGCTGGGGTAACAGCCCTCCTGGCTGATCACAAAGTGGGGAGATTTTGGAAACCTGCTCTCTTGAAAAGCCCCTGAGGGCCTGTGAGACCCCAGGCCAGGGGCTGCACCTGGGACTCTGGCCTTGTGATGGCTGCTTTCTAGGCCTTTCTGGGTGAGGAGGAGGGAAGTGGGCTCACCTTCCTTCCTCTTCTGCCTGCCTCTCTGTCTTATCGCATCTATCTCACTATCGGCATTCCTAAAGCGATAACAAAAGCCTGCGGGAGCAGTCACCTGCCCCTCTTATCTTGACATTGTTGCCATATTTGCGTCAGATCTTAAAACAGAATCGTGCAAAGAGCATCTTCTGTGTTTTAGCGGCTGAGTGGGGTTGAGAAGGGGACTCCGCTCCTGGGCATTTTGATAGCCGTCCTGAGCCTCAGTCTCTCGTCTGTGGAATGGGGCTAACAAAGCCCCGCCCATAGGGATTGAGAGGAGGGAAAACGGGTTAATGCACAGAGTGGTTTGCCTAAAACGCGTGCCAGCACACAGTGGGCCCGCATCAGTGACTCGGAGTCCCTGGCAGTGGAACCTCCTGAATCACAGATTCTGCGTTTGTGAGTTGGCCTGCTCGCTCCCATGGGTAACCCCAGCTTTTCCATGCGCTTGCAGACGTGTGCGGAGCCGTGAGAAACGCAAACCACGCGTGTGTCCAGCGGAGGGCCCAGGCCCTGCCTAGTGTTCCTAAGACCAGGGAGGCGGGTGCGCCTGCAGGAAGGACTGTGTCATCGAGGCTGCGTACTCAGTGTAAACAACCCACGGTTTATAGGAGATCAGGCTTCCTGCGGAGTCACAGCGGCCCCACGGATTGGTGGGTGAGAGAGTGGGGGGGCTTGTAGGAACTTAGCCCCTGTGTTTCCTGGGCGTGGGATTTGGCACGCGCTGTTCAGCGTTCCCGGAAGCGTGGGGACAGAAGTCCCGCAGACGCCAGGATCGGCTGGGTGTTGTGGCTGATGTGGCGGTAAATGCCGTTGTGCAGAGTTATACACTGCTAGAGGCCCGTGCACGAAATTCCTGCAAGAGCAGGCCTTCCTGCCCAGCGGTGTGGCTTAGAGGTCACCAGTTTGATTCCGGCCAGGGCACAGGCCCGGGTTGCAGACTTGATCCCCAGTAGGGGGCGTGCAGGAGGCAGCCGATCAATGATTCTCTCTCATCATGGATGTTTCTCTCCCTCTCTCCCTCTCCCTTTCTCTCTGAAATCAATAAAAAGATATATATTTAGCCGAAACCAGTTTGGCCCAGTGGATAGAGCATCGGTCTGTGGTCAGGAAGGTCCTGGGTTCGATTCCGGTCAAGGGCGTGTGCATTGGTTGTGGGCGCATCTCTGGTAGGGAGTGTGCAGGAGGCAGCAGGTCGATGTTTCTCTCTCATCGATGTTTCTGGCTCTCTATCCCTCTCCCTTCCTCTCTGTAAAAAAACCAATTATATATATATAGTAGATCTTCCTCCCCCTGGCTGCCGGCACTGGCTTCCCACTGGCACCCAGGACCCAGGCTTCCCAGAAGCCCCAGCTTCCTCTGGAAGGTTGACCGAAAGGGCGTCCGGTCTCATTAGCATATCACACTTCTGTTATTGTAGATTATGTGCCAGGTGTGTCTACCCTGTCCTGAGCATATGTACATGCGGCCCAGTGTGTGTGTGGATGTGATCATGCATAGTGCTGGTTTGTGTGGTTATAAAGTGGATTTGACCTCTCCTCTAACCTCATATCTTCAACCGTTCCACTCCCTCTCCTGTCCCCATCCTGTTACTCCCCGCCCAGCTACATCTCCCTCCTTCCGCTGACTTCTCACTCAGCCTCTCTCTCCTTCTCTCTCCACAGCTGGCTCCCGAAGGGACACTCCCCAAGTCCCCTGCCGGGGGCCCCGCGTAGACCTGGAGTGGACGCCCTCTCCTTCCCTTCATGATTCGTTGGTAGCACAGGTAACCAGCGGGGAGGGGGGCCCCATGCACCCCTAGCTCACCTCCTGGCCCCCCGAGGCCCCTGGGCTGGGCCTGCAGCCCCTCGTCTCCAGCCGGGCCCCCAGGCCATGTGGGCATCCTGCACCCCCCCACCTCCACCCAGCTCCGGGGAGCTCTCCCTCCCCACTTTCTCCAGCTTCTCAGCAGACTTGCCTTGTCCCCCTCCTGTGGCCGGTAGCGAAGGGCAGGGGCTGGTAGGCCACAGACCTGGCGGCACAGGGGCGGGGGAGGGACAGACAGACAGGCCTGGGACACGGAGTCAGAGAGAAGCCACTCAATGCAGCAAAGCCGAGGACGGGCCTTCCTGGGCGGTCCCAGGGCTGGGAGGGAGAGTGATTGGCACCTGGGCTCAGGGAGCTGAGTGGGCCTGGGAGGCTCAGTGAGGGCTGTTCAGAGCATGCTCTGAGGGTGAGGGGTGGGGCCAGCTGAGCGAGCGTGTGAGATTAGCTGTGTGGGTCCAGGACGGTCTGAGAAGAGAGGGCCCTGGGCTGAACTTGGGAGAGTGGGGGGACTGGGTGTGGCTTCCCTGTCCTCCGAGCATCCCTGGGGGAAAGGGTGGGCAGGGGAGGCTGGGTCCTTTGTGCTGGACGGAGGGAATGATGGGTCTTCGAGGGGCAGTTTGGCCAGGTGGACAGGTGGACGCTTGGAGGAGGGAGGGTGTTAGGGGTGGAAGGGCGGATGCAGAGAACTGCTGGTCCCTGACCTGTAGGACGGGACTGACATCCCTCCCTGTCCCGGGCGTTGGACAAGCTAACGTTTGGGCAGCACGTGGGACAGGGCCTGGAGCAGTGCGAGCGCTCAGCACATGTTAGCTGCCTGCACCCTCATCCTCATCCTCATGATGCTGCCAGCTCAACCTCCATGTACTCACCTGCAGAGTGGGAGTGACAGGACCGACCTCCCCCCCCTCGCTCCTCCGAGGGATACTGGGAGGATGAGCTAAGAGAGTGTGAAGTGCTTAGCACCAGGCTGTGCAGGTCAGGCTCTCAGGCTCACTTAGTCTTGTGTGATATCATCGTCGTTATCAGATTCTGGGACCCAGAGGGAGACGGGAGGAAGAAAAGCGGTTCTGCGGGGAGGGCGCCCCCACCCCTCCCGTGCCCATGGGAGCAGAACCCTGACCCCCTGCCCCACCCAGGGGCCTGACCCCGGAACGGTCCTTGACGGGAGCCCTGGCATGCTCTGAAGTCTAACCTCTCTCCCTTGCCTTCTTTCCGCCCTGCCCGCCCCACCCAGTGGCGATGGATGATGAGGATGGGAGATGCTTACTAGACGTGATATGGTGAGTAACTGGCTCCCCCCACCCTTCTTCCCCCTCCCCTCCACCGCCCGCCCCTGGCCTCCTCAGTGCCTCTTCCCTTCTCTCTTTCAGTGACCCTCAGGCCCTCAATGACTTCTTACATGGATCCGAGAAGGTGAGTATCTGTGGGGCAGGAGGTGTCCGGGGCAGGAGCTGTGGAATGGGGAGCTGACATGTTCCCTGAGGCAGGAGACACCTACCCCTTGACCTCCGGGAGCCGGGCAGGGTGGCTGCCGAGGAGAGCAAAGGAGGTGGCAAATCCTTGACATCACGCCGCCCACATTTCCTTGGTCAACCGAGTAGCCAGGAACCAGTAAAAGGGACCGTGGAAAGTGCCTACAGAACAGGACGAGGGAGAGTAGTGTCACTTGCACAACAGAAGAGGTTTGAAAGAAGCCGAAACTGGTTTGGCTCAGTGGATAGAGCGTCAGCCTGCAGACTGAAAGGTCCCAGGTTCGACTCCGGTCAAGGGCATGTACCTTGGTTGCAAGCACATCCCCAGTAGGGGGTGTGCAGGAGACAGCTGGTCAATGTTACTCTCTCATTGACATTTCTAGCTCTCTATCCCTCTCCTGTCCTCTCTGTGGAAAATCAATAAAATATATTTTTTAAAAAAGAAGAAGAAGAAGAGGTTTGAAAGGAAATGAGTGGGGGTGGGGGCTTCTTTACCAGTGTGGTCAGGGCGGGTCCCTCTAAGGAGGTGATGTGGAAGGTGAACTTGAAAGGTCAGAGGGCAGTGCCAGGGTGCTCCGGGCAGGCCAAGAGCAGGCACAAAGGTGGGGAAAGGTGGCATGGTTGCGGAACAGAGAGAAGGTTGGCAGGCTGGACTGGAGGGGAGACTGGTAGGTAGGAGGTGAGATGAGGTGAGAAAAGTCACCTGGGCGTGCAGGGCCCTGAAGACCTGGGTCCAGGAGTTGAGTTTTTTTGTTTTGTTTTGTTTTTAATATATTTTGTTGACCTTCTACAGAGAGGAAGGGAGAGGGATAGAGAATTAGAAACATTGATGAGAGAGAAACATCCATTAGTTGCCTCCTGCACACCTCCCACTGGGGATGTGCCCGCAACCAAGGTACATGCCCTTGACCGGAATCGAACCTGAGACCCTTGAATCCATAGGCTGATGCTCTATCCACTGAGCCAAACCCGTCAGGGCAAGGAGTTGAGGTTTTATTTTGAATGTGTCAGGCAGCTCTGGCGTGTTATCCAGCAGGAGGAAGCCATACTCGATCACCCCGGAGAGTGGGACAGAGCAGGGGAGCGTGGAAGTCTGTTGATCCACGCGGAGTTGTATCAGTCACCGAGGGCTGCGTAACAAGTTGTCCCTACGCTCGGTGACGTAAGCCAGCACCTTAGAGCTCTCACAGTTCGTGAGGGTCAGGCATCGGGGAGCGGCTTAGCTGGGGGTCTGGCTCAGGGTCTCTCTGGGGTTGCAAAACAGGTGTCGGCCGGGGCTGCTGTCATCTGAGGGCTTGTCTGGGGCCGGAAGATGTGCTTCCACAACTTATTGGCTTTAGCTGGAGCCACAGCTCCTCACCTCTCAGACATCTCCTTGGGGCTGCTACTTAAGCGTCCTCACGACTCGGCAGCGTGAGTGACCCAAGGGCCGAAGCTCAGTGCCTTTTATGACCCTGTCTCCAGTCACACGCTGTCACTTCTGTCAGATTGTATTCGCCAGAAGCAAGTCCCCGAGCCAGCCCACAGCCGTAGGGAGGGAACGGAGAAGTATCGGAGGGTGGAGTGGAGGCGAGTGCAATGGGATGACGCGGGCCTGGTCCCCGGAGCAGGGGTGAGGAGGGGCCAGGCGCCGTGGGGTCTGGGTGGGAGGCAACTCCTACACTCGATGTCAAGGAAGTGAGGTGTCCGGAATGCCGCCTGGATTTTGGCCTGAGCGACTGAGCAGCTGTGACATGGGTTTCTGTGATTGGGGGGTTGGTGCGGGTTCTAGGAACCCGGGGAGGGCTGTTGGGAACAGTCCGTGGCTCCAGAGAGACATCCGCTGGCAAGACTGGCGAGGCCACCCCTGCCATTGCCGGCCACTGGGCGCGTGAGGCCCCGGGCTCTGTCCTAGGTCCTGAAGGCGCTCCGGGGAAGCCAGCCCATCCCTGCTGCCTCCCAGGGACAGTGCCGTGTAGAACGGGGCCGGCTGAGGGACCTGCCGGCTACTTGGAGGAACTTAGTGTGGAGGGACCTAGAGCTGATGGGAGGAGGTGGCGTACAGGACCAGCCCTGAAGGATGAGTTACCCTGGGGAAGGCAGGGCACGGCCTGGGCAAAGGCGGAGGCAGGATTCTCCTCGCGGCAGCCATGGTGTCAGGAGAGCCTTGGAAGCCAGGCTGAGGGACTCAGTATTGGGGTCGTCTTGCCCCCCACCTCGTCTTTGTCTTTTTGTTCTTGAGCACGGCTGGTTTGCTGTCCAGCTGACCTCTGACCTTGGGTGGGGGCGGGTCTTGTTACAGCTCGATGGTGACGACCTCCTGGATAATCCTGGGGAGGCCCAAAGTGCCTTCTATGAAGGTCCTGGGGTAAGTGGCCCCCCAGATGGGGGAAGGCTGCAGGCTCCCAGGCATCCCCAAGCCATCCACAGCATCAGCCGGCGGGCGGGAGGCCCCGAAGGCAGGAGGGAAGGGTCACATGACACTCATCCCCATGATGCATTGTGCTGGGCGGCGGGTGGGAGGCAGTCAGAGAGCGGGGTTGGGAGGTGGGACCTCAGCAGCGGGAGCACCCTGGCTGGGCCCTGCCTTCGGCGGAGACCGCAGGGGTCAGGATGCAGAGCTGTTCTGGGAGCTGAGGCAGAGGCTGGCTCTGGGCTTCCCCAGGGAATACTTCTCTGGGAGCAGGTCCTGGAGGCCTGTCCCTGCTCAGCTGTTTGGGGGTGACCAGGTAGGGGAAAGGGACCACTGACACGGACCTCAGTCTCATCTGAAAAGTGAATGTGGGTGATGGACAAGGCTCAGAGTGGGCACCGCAGTGGTCATTCATTGAGCACCTGCTGTATGCCTGGCTGTGCTGGACCCATTGCTGAATGTCCTTATCTTCCTCTTCTTCCTCTCCTGCTGCTTCTGCCTCCCTGCTCCTCTCCCCTCCGCCCCTTTTCCTCCTCCCTCTTCATCATCGTAACTGTCGTTCACTGAACACGTATTCTATGCCAGACCCTTACGGTAATTTTCATTTAGTTTTCACAGCTATAATAATATATTCTCTGAATAAGCTCTCTTTCGCAATACAAATGATTGCACCCAGAAGCCAACAAATAAACATCATTTCGTGTTATTGCCTTTATAGACCTGGAATCATGAGCCTATGCTTCTTATTCCGTGATCATTGTTCCCATCACTGCTCTCGTGGTTTAATGCCCACACGGTCTCCGGTTGGGCCCCGAGCACCTCCCGTGCTTGACGTCAGTGAATGTCACGACCACCTGGGAAGCCCTCTGGTCACATGGCCACTCACCCCAGGACCTTCATGTCTGGATTCCATGCCATGAGCGCAATTATTGCCTGTGGAGTGATGGTTCAAATACTCATACACATATTTATACCCACATGTTGTGGATTGTGCATGGAAAGTATTTAAGAAATGTCAGAGCCAGCCAGTGTGGCTCAGTTTTGGAGTTGCAGGTGAGAATCAAGGGCCTCGTAGGACGGTTTAGCAAACGGTGTTTGGTCTACCGATATGTGCAGTGGGGACAGAGGCAGGTGAAGCAGGTGAAGCAGGCTCCCAGCTACGCCCTGGGGAGCAGGGCGCCAACCCGGGTGCAGCCTGTTCCAGAGGAATGTTCTCTGCAGCTGTGCCCGCACCCCCTCCCCGGCACCCAGTGTCTGTCTCAGCCGCGCCCTGAGCCGGCCCTTGGCTCATCGCAGGCCTTTCCCATCCTCTCTGGCCTCCAGCTCCACGTGCAGGAAGCTTCTGGCAACCACTTGAACCCGGAGCCCAGCCAGCCAGCCCCCAGCGTGGACCTAGACTTCCTGGAGGATGACATCCTGGGCTCGCCCTCCGCAGGGGGCGGCGGTGGCGGAGGCGGCGGCAGCAGCAGCAGCAGCGGTGGCGGGGGCAGCGCCGACCAGCCCTGCGACATCCTGCAGCAGAGCCTCCAGGAGGCCAACATCACCGAGCAGACCCTCGAGGCCGAGGCTGAGCTGGACCTGGGCCCCTTCCAGCTGCCCACGCTGCAGCCCGCGGACGGCGGGGCCGGCCAGGCGGGTGCTGCAGGGGCCGCAGCCGTGGCCTCGGGGCCCCAGGCCCTCTTCCCGGGGGGCACCGACCTGCTGGGACTGCAGGCCCCGCCCACCGTGCTGGCCCACCAGGCCCTGGTGCCGCCCCAGGACGTGGTCAACAAGGCCCTGAGCGTCCAGCCCTTCCTGCAGCCGGTGGGCCTGGGCAACGTGACCCTGCAGCCGATCCCGGGCCTCCAGGGCCTGCCCAACGGCAGCCCCGGGGGCGCCGCGGCCGCCACCCTCGGCCTGGCCCCCATCCAGGTGGTGGGCCAGCCCGTCATGGCGCTCAACCCGGGCTCCACCTCCCAGCTCCTGGCCAAGCAGGTGCCCGTCAGCGGCTACCTGGCCTCGGCGGCCGGGCCCTCGGAACCGGTGACCTTGGCGTCGGCGGGCGTCTCGCCGCAGGGCGCCGGCCTGGTCCTCCAGAAGAGCCTCCCGGCCGCTGTGGCCACCACGCTCAGCGGGAACTCGGTGTTCGGCGGCGCAGGGGCCGCCACCGGGGCCGCCACCGCGGCCCCCTCCGGGCAGCCGCTGGCCGTGGCCCCCGGCCTGGGCACCTCGCCGCTGGTGCCCGCGCCCAACGTGATCCTGCACCGCACGCCCACGCCCATCCAGCCCAAGCCGGCCGGCGTGCTGCCCCCCAAGCTCTACCAGCTGACACCCAAGCCTTTCGCGCCCGCGGGCGCCACCCTCACCATCCAGGGCGAGGCGGGGGGCCTCCCGCAGCAGCCCAAGGCCCCCCAGAACCTGACTTTCATGGCGGCCGGCAAGGCCGGCCAGAACGTGGTGCTCTCCGGCTTCCCGGCCCCCGCCCTGCAGGCGGCGAACGTCTTCAAGCCGCCGCCCGCCTCCACCCCGGGGGCCGCCCCGCCGCCGCCCCCCGGCGCCCTCAGCAAGCCCATGAGCGTGCACCTGCTGAACCAGGGCAGCAGCATCGTCATCCCCGCCCAGCACGTGCTGCCCGGCCAGAACCAGTTCCTGCTGCCCGGCGCCTCGGCCGTGCAGCTGCCCCAGCCGCTCTCGGCCCTGCCGGCCAACGTGGGGGGGCAGATCCTGGCGGCCGCGGCCCCGCACGCGGGCGGGCAGCTCATCGCCAACCCCATCCTCACCAACCAGAACCTGGCGGGGCCGCTGAGCCTGGGCCCCGTGCTGACCCCCCACTCGGGGGCCCACAGCGCCGCCCACATCCTCTCGGCGCCCATCCAGGTGGGCCAGCCCGCGCTCTTCCAGATGCCCGTGTCGCTGGCCGCGGGCAGCCTGCCCACGCAGAGCCAGCCGGCGCCCGCCGGCCCCGCCGCCGCCACCGTCCTCCAGGGCGTCACGCTGCCGCCCAGCGCCGTGGCCATGCTCAACGCCCCCGACGGCCTGGTGCAGCCCGCCACGCCGGCCCCGGCCGGGGAGGCCGCGCCCGTCCTCGCCGCCGTGCAGGCGGCCCCCCCGGCGCCCCCCGCGGCCAGCACCCCACTGCCTTTGGGCCTCCAGCAGCCGCCGGCGCAGCAGCCGCCGCCCTCCCAGGCCCCCACGCCCCAGCCCGCCAACCCGCCTCAGGCCACCACCCCCCAGCCCAGCCCGGGCCTGGCGTCCAGCCCGGAGAAGATCGTGCTGCCCCCGTCTGCCACTGCCACGGCCACGGCCATCCTCACTCAGGACTCCCTGCAGATGTTCCTGCCCCAGGTACCCGCCGGGGGCTGACGGGGGTGGCTGTGGGCACCCGGGGAGGGCTGGAGGGAGGGGCAGTGAGCGCAGGGCCTCTGCTGTAGAGAGGGGCTGAGGGCAGCGAGGCGGCTGGGAGAGCATCTCAGAGACGGCACCCCTGCCCTGGGAACCGGTGTCCCCAAGAGGCCCCAGGGTGACAGGGACCCTCTGACTGACAGGAAGATGGACTAGGAGAGGAGCTAACAAGTGAAGGACAAGGAGAGGGACTGACTGACATGATGGACAGGGAGAGGGGATGACTGACATGATGGACAGGGAGAGGGGCCGGCTGACATGATGGACAGGGAGAGGGTTCGACTGACATGATGGACAGGGAGAGGGTTCGACTGACATGATGGACAGGGAGAGGGGCCGGCTGACATGATGGACAGGGAGAGGGGCCGATTGACATGATGGACAGGGAGAGGGGCCGACTGACATGATGGACAGGGAGAGGGGCCGACTGACATGATGGACAGGGAGAGGGGCCGACTGACATGATGGACAGGGAGAGGGGCTGACTGACATGATGGACAGGGACAGGGGATGACTGACATGATGGACAGGGAGAGGGGCTGACTGACATGATGGACAGGGAGAGGGGCTGACTGACATGATGGACAGGGAGAGGGGCTGACTGACATGATGGACAGGGAGAGGGGCCGACTGACATGATGGACAGGGAGAGGGGCTGACTGACATGATGGACAGGGAGAGGGGCCGGCTGACATGATGGACAGGGAGAGGGGCCGACTGACATGATGGACAGGGAGAGGGGCCGGCTGACATGATGGACAGGTAGAGGGGCTGACTGACATGATGGACAGGGAGAGGGGCCGACTGACATGATGGACAGGGAGAGGGGATGACTGACATGATGGACAGGGAGAGGGGCCGGCTGACATGATGGACAGGGAGAGGGGCCGGCTGACATGATGGACAGGGAGAGGGTTCGACTGACATGATGGACAGGGAGAGGGTTCGACTGACATGATGGACAGGGAGAGGGGCCGGCTGACATGATGGACAGGGAGAGGGGCCGACTGACATGATGGACAGGAAGAGGGGCCGGCTGACATGATGGACAGGGAGAGGGGCCGGCTGACATGATGGACAGGGAGAGGGGCCGGCTGACATGATGGACAGGGAGAGGGGCCGGCTGACATGATGGACAGGTAGAGGGGCTGACTGACATGATGGACAGGGAGAGGGGGCGGACTGACATGATGGACAGGGAGAGGGGCTGACTGACATGATGGACAGGGACAGGGGATGACTAACAGGTGAAGGGCTGACTGACATGATGGACAGGGAGAGGGGCTGACTGACATGATGGACAGGGAGAGGGGCTGACTGACATGATGGACAGGGACAGGGGCTGACTGACATGATGGACAGGGAGAGGGGCTGGCTGACATGATGGTAGGGAGAGGGGATGACTGACATGATGGACAGGGACAGGGGCTGACTGACATGAAGGACAGGGAGAGGGGCTGACTGACATGATGGACAGGGACAGGGGATGACTAACAGGTGAAGGGCTGACTGACATGATGGACAGGGAGAGGGCTGACTGACATGGACAGGGACAAGGGATGACTGACATGATGGTAGGGAGAGGGGATGACTGATATGATGGACAGGGACAGGGGATGACTAACAGGTGAAGGGCTGACTGACATGATGGACAGGGAGAGGGGCTGACTGACATGATGGACAGGGACAGGGGCTGACTGACATGAAGGACAGGGAGAGGGACAGGCAGACAAGGAGAGCTACTGGTTGACAGAAAGATAGGGTTGGAGAGCGAGTGACTGGCTAACAGACAGGCTGCCCTGCTGGTGTGCTGGGGCGAGATTGCAGGAACACTGGGCAGGATGTGGACAGACGAGGGAGGGAGGGAGGGAGAGGGGGGAGCTAGCAGACAACTGCCCCCAGGGACTCGGTGGAAGGAGCTGCCGGGGCTGCAGCCTCTGGGTGCCTTCGTGCCGGGTCCCCACCACCCCTTCTCTGGGGTGTCAGTGGGGGCGGGGGGGGGGGGCGGCTGCAGGGCCACAGGGCAGCCTGGTGACCCTGTGTGGCTGCCCGTTTCAGGAGAGGAGCCAGCAGCCCCTCTCCGCGGAGGGCCCCCACCTGTCCGTGCCTGCCTCGGTCATAGTCAGCGCCCCAGCTCCTGCCCAAGACCCAGCCCCGAGCACCCCCGTCGCCCAAGGAGCTGGCCTTGGCCCTCAGACCCCCGACAGCCAGGCTTCCCCGGCGCCAGCCCCCCAGGTAGATGCACCCCGGCAGCCGCTGTCCTTGCCCAGACCAGCCTTGCCCGCGCCCTCCTCGCTCCCCACCCCTGGCTGCTCTGCCTGCTGCTGTCTCGCTGGCTCCTTCGCTTCCCAGATGCTCCCTCGGGGCTCCAGGACCCCGAGGCCAAGGCCGCCTGCGGGGCTGCACACGAGGCAGGAGGCGGATGCACACAGCAGGACGTGGCCGGCTTGTTAAAACGCTCCTTCTCCTGTCTGGGTTGATAAACATTCCGATGGCTCCCGTTTCACCAGGCACGGACGGGACCCCTTCCTGAACGTGGCCTCCCCTGGCCCTGCGTTCCCACCCCGGGCAGCAGGACGGCCTTCCTCCCGATTCTGTAAAAATGGGAGCGTGCTCCGCGCACCCATCGGAGCCCTGCTCTTATAGAGCCGTGGTCAGCCAACTGTGGCTCCAGAGCCACATGCGGCTCTTTGGCCCCTTGAGTGTGGCTCTTCCACAAAATGCCACGGCCCTGGCGAGTCTGTGTTGAAGAAGTGGCGTTAGAAGAAGTTTAGGTTTAAAAAAGTGTGGCTCTCCAAAGAAATGTCAGTCGCTGTCCTGTTGATATGTGGCTCTGCGGGCTAATGAGTTTGTCGACCACTGGTCTAAAGTTTTGTTGTGGAGACGATGCCTTGCTCTTCTGTACGGCCGCGCGGCTCCGTGGTGCGGCTGTCCTGCTGTCTGTCTGACGCAGCCCTGTGGGCGCCGCGGTCCCCTCTGGTCTCCTCCCGCCCTGAGCGAGGCTGCGAGGAGGGGCCGCGCAGCCATCACGCAGGCCAGGCCCTCAGAAAAGACGTTGCTGCCTCTAAGCAGCTTTCCTGCGGTTTGACAGGTGTTTGACAGGTGTTGTCTCCGGGGGGTGTGAATCGGTGTCTCCTTTATCTGTGCCTGCCTTCCCACACTCAGCCATACATTCAGCTTGGCCAGTCTGGTAGGGGGGGAAAATTGTGTCTTGTGGGGTTTTTGTTTTGTTTTGTTTTCAAAATTTTTTTTTCTGTATTTGCCTAGGAAGCAAAGGTTTTATTTTATGTGTTTATTTATTTTTAATACTTTTATTGATTTCAGAGATGAAGGGGAAGGGGAGAGATAGAAATATCAATGATGAGAGAGAATCATTGATCGGCAGCCTCTTGCATGACCCCCACTGGGGGGGGGGATCCAGCCCGCAACACGGGCATGTGCCCTTGACTGGAATCGAATCCGGGACCCCCCCCCCCAGTCCACAGGCCGATGCTCCATCCGCTGAGCCAAACAAGCCAGGGTTGTTTTGTTTTGTTTTATATGTTTTTATTGATTTCAGACAGGTTGGGAGAGGGAGCGAGGAATAGAAACATCAGTGATGAGAGAGAATCATTGACTGGCTGCCTCCTGCAGGCCCCTTCTGGGGATCGAGTCCCGGGATCCAACCTGGGACCCTTCAGTCCACAGACCAATGCTCTGTCCACTGAGCCAGGCTGGTCAGGGCAAGAATGTTCTTTCTGGATCGTGGCGGATGCTGTTCAGATTCAGCAGGTGTAGCCCGGAGACAGCGCTGTTGTCTCATCCAGCGGCCGCCAGCCTTTCAGACCTCACAGACCCCCGAGTGAGTGGCTCTCGGACCCCCGGTCGGCGCCCGCTGATCTAATGTCCGTTTTGCCGTTTAGCCCACTGTCCGGCGTCGCGTGACGCGTTGTTGTCATTTCACTCTGCGTTCTAGTGCGTGCAGGGAGGTGAGGCAGGGGCCAGCTCTCCGACTCTCTCAGCCACACGCCTGTGTGGCCACTTGGGTTGGTTTCCTATTTTCTCTTGGAAATGCCCCCACAGGGGACAGCCTGTGAGCAAGGGCCCGATGGCTCCTCATGACAGATGCCTGGTGGGGGGCCGCCAGGTCAAAGGTCACACAAAGAGCAAACTGCCTTGGGGGGGGGGGGTAATCCAGGCGACAGTCTCATCAGCCCCTTGCGAGAGCCAGGCTGCCCCTCCGACCTCTCCCGGCGGCAGGCCTGGGGCGGGGGGAGCTGGTGCTGAGTTGGATTTTGTCTTGGATTGCCGGCCGTCCAGGCCCAGGCTTGGCGGGGCGAGGGGCTGTGCTGGGAGGGCCAGAGCGTGGGCGCCTGGAAGCAGAGCGGACTCTGAAGTCAGAGTCAGACCTCCTTGGGGGCTGGAAGCCCAGAGCCCGGCTTTGGAGGAGGCAGGGCTGGGGGACCCGAGCGAGTCCCCGAGTCCTCGGCCAGCTCTGAGCCCTGGGCGGGGCCAGACGGGGCGTCTGGGCCCGTCGTCTCCGCTCCCGGCTTCAGTGTCTCCCCGTGAATCTGTCCAACGTGGCCCCGGCTCTCAGGCCCCAGGGAGGCCACACGGTGGGCGCAGGCGCCAGCGTACACCGGGCGGGGGAGCCGTCAGGGGTGAGGACTCGGTGCTGGTGCCGGGTACACGGGTGACACAGAGGCCCGAGGCCATGGTTCCTGGGGAGGTGACCCCTGGGGAGGAGCGTGCAGGGGTGGGCGCCCCGGCTGAGGCGGTGCAGGCAGGTCGCTGTGTCCGTGTAGCAGAACTGTGCCGGATCTGGTGCAAGTCACACGTGTGCACACCCCACACTCGTGTGCACACGTATGCCCGTCCCCGCAGCCCTGACAGCGGGCACTCGAGGCCTTAGAGCACATGTGTCAAACATAAGGCCCGCGGGCCAAATCCGTCCCGCCAGGCCTTGGAATGTGGCCCGCACCGCGCTGTCATCACTGCACTCCGCTGCGTTTCCATCACAATGACAGTTTATGACTGTTCAGTAAACCATTCGGCCCGCGATTTAGGCTGGATTTTAGATTTTGGCCCCTTCTCTGATTGAGTTCGACACCCCTACCTTAGAGTCATAGCCTGCCCCCAGCTGCCTCCTCAGCGCCCTGGGCCCCCACCCCCACCCCCGCCCCGGGCCCCCCTCCCCGCCCTGGCCCGCGTCCCCACCGGCCCTGTTCTCCTGGGTCAGCTGGGCAGGCGGCGGGTGGGCTGCTGGGACGCGGCGCCTCCCTCCCCCTCGCTGCTTGCGCTGTGCTCCCGGCCTGCCCTCCCCGCTGGCAGCTGGCCGTCCCTGCTGCTTCCGCCGCTGCTGCCCGCCCTGCAGAGCTGCCTTCATCCGGGGAACTGGGGAGGCGGGGAACTGGGGAGGCGGGGCATGTGGGAGACCAGAGGGCCGAGGTCTGGAGGGGATGAGGGGGGAGGTGCAGGGATGAGGGGAACGGGTGCAGGGGTGGGGGGGATGAGGGGCACAGGTGCAGGGGTGTGGGGTAGAGACCAGGGGTTTGGAGGGCATAAGGGGACAGGTGCAGGGGGAGGTGGAGAGGTGGGAGGGAGAGGAGGCGTTCCAGGACAGGGGGTTGCTAAGAAGGTGGTGTGTGTGGGTCTGGGGTCTCCGGTGTGTGGGGCAGTGGGAGCCACGGTTGGCTCTGACCCTGCCCCTTCCTCTCCCTCCCTGTCCTGCCAGATCCCAGCAGCGGCTCCCCTGAAGGGCCCAGGCCCCTCCTCGTCCCCGTCACTACCTCACCAGGCCCCTCTGGGAGACAGCCCCCACCTGCCCTCCCCGCACCCCGCCCGGCCCCCTTCCCGCCCGCCCTCCCGCCCCCACTCCCGGCCGCCCTCCCAGCCCCAGAGCCTGTCCCGCCCGCCCTCCGAGCCCGCCCTGCACCCCTGCCCCCCGCCCCAGGCTGCCCCCACCCTGCCCGGCATCTTCGTCATCCAGAGCCAGCTGGGCGTCCCCCCACCCGTCAGCACCCCGGCCCCCACTGCCCCAGGCCCGCCCCAGCCCCAGCCCCCCGAGGGGCCGCTGCCCCCAGCCCCCCACCTCCCGCCCGCCTCCACCTCCTCCGCGGTGGCCTCCACAGAGACGTCCACCCGCCTGCCAGCCCCCACGCCCCCCGACTTCCAGCTCCAGTTCCCGCCCGGCCAGGGCCCCCACAAGTCCCCCACGCCCCCGCCAGCCCTCCACCTGGTCCCCGAGGCCTCCGCGCCCGCCCCACCGCCGCCTCGGACCTTCCAGATGGTGACCGCCCCCTTCGCCGCGCTGGCCCAGCCGAAGGCTCTCCTGGAGAGGTTCCACCAGGTAATGGGGCTCCCCCTTAGTGACCGGAGCCCCCCCCCCAGCCCCGGGGCCTGCCCCCCACCCCTCACCCACTGTCGCCTCCTCAGGTGCCGACCGGAATCATTCTCCAGAGCAAGGCCGGGGGGCCCCCCGCCGCCCCGCAGACCTCCACCAGCCTGGGGCCCCTCGCCAGCCCCCCTGCCTCCGTGCTGGTCAGCGGCCAGGCCCCACCCGGGGCCCCCGCTGCCCCCAGCCACCCCCCCGCCCCAGCACCCATGGCCACCACAGGTAGGGGACAGGCTGCCCTCGAAGGAGAGCTGGGGCCTGACGTGGGGGGCTGAGCCGGGGGTGAGCCCGACGGGGCCCTCTGGTCTCAGGGCCAGGGAAGGTGGAGGAAGGGCAGTCCCCCAGATCCGAGGGCAAGGACCGGGCAGCGAGGCGCAGGCTTGGGGGTCACACGTGAGGACGGGGCCTAGGAGCCAGTGACCCCTGAGCCCTGTGCCCCCACCCCCACCCCCAGGCCTCCCTCCTCTGCTTCCTGCCGAGAACAAAGCCTTCATCAGCAGCCTCCCGACCCTGAGCGTGGCCGCCGCCCCGGGGCCCGGGAAGCCCTCCGGGGCGCAGGTAAGCGGCCCTGGATTGGAGGGGGGGGCCAAGCATGTCCCTCCCCAGCGAACCAGGGAGGGCCAGCGGGGCAGGGAGGCAGGTGGGCAGGCGGATGGACACACCCAGCCGGTGGGTGAGACAGCAGGACAGTCTGGGCTGGGGGCGTGTGAGACCCGCAGACACCAGGGTGACAGGGCGAGGGCGAGGGTGAGGGCAGGTGGGAGAGAGGGCCTGAGACCCCTGTGGTCCCTGGGGGTGTGGGCCCTGCGGGTGTGTCTCTGGGGCGGGAGCAGGGGAGAGGCTGAGAGGGAGGAGGAGGGACCTGAGACTCAGGTGGCAGCTCAGGACAGGTGGGTGAGAACTCCAAAGAGATCTGGAGAGACCTGGGGGTGTAAACGGAGGCAGGGACCCCCTCTTTGAAATGGGGGGCAGGAAGACAAGGACACATCTGTAGAAGTGAGAGGGAGCCGGCTGGAGAGCCTTGGAGACAAGACCCCCCCACAGCCATGCAAGAGGCCTAGGCATGGCAGAGTGTGTGTGTGTGTGTGTGTGTGTGTGTGTGCAGGAGGCCTGAGCATGGCAGAGTGTGTGTGTGTGTGTGTGTGTGTGTGCAGGAGGCCTGGGCATGGCGGTGTGTGTGTGTGTGTGTGTGTGTGTGTGTGTTTGTGTGCAGGAGGCCTGAGCATGGTGGTGTGTGTGTGTGTGTGCAGGAGGCCTGGGCATGGCGGTGTGTGTGTGTGTGTGTGTGTGTGTGTGTGCAGGAGGCCTGGGCATGGCGGGGTGTGTGTGTGTGTGTGTGTGTGTGTGTGCAGGAGGCCTGGGCATGGCGGGGTGTGTGTGTGTGGGTGTGTGTGTGTGTGTGCCTGAGGCAGAGTGAGGTCCCGGGCGGGAGAAGGTCGGAGTGAGGAGGGAGATGCGGGGAGTGCTCCCAGAGTCCAGACAGCAGCCAGGCGAGGCCCCTCGGGGAGGGGGCTGCAGGGTCCCTGCTCGGGTGCCAGGCTTACGCCTGCATATCCCCCGCTCCTGTCCATGTCCCCCGGATTCTGCCCAGATCTCCCCTGGAGTGGAGTGTGAGGGGCAGGCAGGAGCCCCGGGGGAGATGGGCCTTATCTTTGCCCCAGGCTGGGGGGGGGGGTCAGGGTGCAGAGGGGGGGGCCCGCTCCCCTGGGACCCCCACTCGAGTGCCTTTCTGCCCGCAGTATGACAGCAAGCTGAGTGGCCTGAAGAAAGCACCCCTCCTCCAGCCCAGCAAGGAAGCCTGGTGAGTGACCTGTGTCCGCATGTCCGTTCCCCCCCCCCCTGCCTCCCCAGGCAGAAGGGCCCAGAGGGAGGCACTGGGGGCCCTGGGCACTCGGACAGGCGGGTGGGCGGTGGAGGGGTGCTGGGGAGATGGGTGCTGGGTGGGCGGAGGGGTAGGTGTTGGGTGGATGCACTCTCCCTGTCTTCTGCCCTCCTTCCACCAAGAGTGTTTGCTGCTCAGGTGCTTGCTCCCTACCCGCCTGTGCAGCTTCTGGAAACAAAGCAGACCAGCTCCTGCCCCATGGTCTTCAGAAAGGGCGGGGACCAGCATGCTGGCGGGGAGGCCATCACTCCAGAGACATGACACACTTAGCCCCGGTGGGAAGCCTTGTGAGAGAAGGATAGGATTTTACCGGCTCCTCAGCCGCCCTGCGCGCCTGAGGTTGCATCTGGGCCACTGGCAGCGTGGGGGCGTGCTGCCCCCTGGTGGCGGGAGACGGCATAGCAGGGAGGCTGCGGTGCAGGCTCTGCCTCTTGCTTCCCCGTAATGTACGTTTTGCGTGGAGGCACTTCCCCTTTCCGGGCCTCAGTTTCCTCACCTGTGACCTGGAGGTAGAGAGAGCACCTGCTTCCTGCGGTTGTCACCGGAGACTCAGGGAGACAGACCAGGCCGCCCGCGCCGGTGTCCTCATGCCCTCTCGCACCTGCTGCTGTCTGCCCCGGGCCGGCTGGGCCCTGCACTCCCTGGCCTCACCCCGGCTCTGCGGTGTGTCCCCCCCAGCTTCCTGGAGCACTTGCACAAACACCAGGGCTCCGTCCTGCACCCGGACTACAAGACGGCCTTCCCCTCCTTCGAGGACGCCCTGCACCGCCTCCTGCCCTACCACGTCTACCAGGGCGCCCTCCCCTCCCCCGGCGACCACCACCGAGGTGAGGCCCGGGCGCCCAGCCGCGCCCGCTTGGCGGCGGGGAGGGGAGGGGTGGCGGGCACGCTGCCCTCCCTTACTCCCCCCCAACGCCCGGGCCCGGGGCCTCTGCTCTCTCGCAGTGGACGAGGAGTTCGAGACGGTGTCCACGCAGCTGCTCAAACGCACCCAGGCCATGCTCAACAAGTACCGCCTCCTGCTCCTGGAGGAGTCCCGGGTAGGGCCTCGCCCGCCTAGGGAGGCCGGGAGGGAGGGAGGCCCGGAGGGAGGAGGCGGCTGCGAGGCCGCAGCCCAGTCCCTCGCATCCCCTCCCTCGGTCCTGGCTTCTTCATGGCCGTCTCCTCCCTTCAGAGGGTGAGCCCGTCGGCGGAGATGGTGATGATCGACCGGATGTTCATTCAGGAGGAGAAGACCACCCTGGCCTTGGACAAGCAGTTGGCCAAGGAGAAGCCTGGTGAGGGCGTGGGGAGGGCGAGGTGTGCCCCCTCCAAGTACCCCAATTAGACTGGGGGGCGGGGCGCGGCCTCCCCTTACGTGGCCGCCAGGTGGCGCCATAGCCCGCCTTCCTGCGGTGGCTGGTCTCCCTGCTCACCCCTGGCCTGGTCTGGAGGGACCATCTTCCCGGAGAGAGGAAAGCAAGGGAGCACAGCCAGACCGGGGGAGCACAGCCAGACCGGGGGGAGCAAGCAAGGTACCGGGTTGCAAAATGTGAGGTGGCATCATGCAGTCCGGGGTCCCGCGTGCCTCCCCACCCGCACCGTGCCGGGCTGTGGGATTGCAGGGAGGGGCCCCCCGGGGGTGGGTAGTGGTTGCTCCGTGCACTGGCCTCTGAGCGCATCTGCGCAGGCGCCGGCACGCCCTCACCGGGGCCCGGGGCCCTGCCCCCTGTCCCCCCTCTTTGTGCAGATGAGTACGTGTCTTCCTCGCGCTCCCTCTGCCTCCCTGTGGCCGTGTCCTCGGAGGGACACCGGGTTCCCAGCCACTGCCCGCCGCCGCCCTCCGCGCCCGGGGCGCCCGCCCCGCCGCCCCTGCACCTGCCCACCAAGCTGGTGATCCGGCACGGCGGCGGCTCGCCCTCCGTGACCTGGGCCCGCGCCTCCTCCTCGCTGTCCTCCTCCGCCGCCGCCGCCGCCGCCCTGGACGCGGACGAGGACGGCCCCATGCCCTCGCGCAACCGCCCCCCCATCAAGACCTACGAGGCCCGCAGCCGCATCGGCCTCAAGCTCAAGATCAAGCAGGAGGCGGGGCTCAGCAAGGTGGTGCACAACACGGCGCTGGACCCGGTGCACCAGCCGCCGCCCGCGCCGCCCAAGGCCGAGCCGCCGCCGCGGCCCCCGCCGCCGCCGCCCGCCGGCCAGATGAACGGCACCGTGGACCACCCGCCGCCCGCGCCGGCCCGCAAGCCGCCCGCGCCGGCCCCGCACTGCCCGCGCCTGCCGCTGCGGAAGACCTACCGCGAGAACGTGGGGGCGCCGGGCGGCGAGGGCGCGGGCGCGGGCCGGGCGCGGGGCGCGGGCCCGGCGGCCGCCAAGGTGGACGAGGCCACGAGCGGCCTGATCCGCGAGCTGGCGGCCGTGGAGGACGAGCTGTACCAGCGGATGCTCAAGGCCCCGCCCGAGGCCGCGGGCGCGGGGCCGGGCGGCGGCGGCGGCGGCAGGGAGCCCGGCTGGGAGGCGCCCTCGCTGCCCCCCAGCAAGCGGCGCAAGTCCGAGTCCCCGGACGTGGACCAGGCCAGCTTCTCCAGCGACAGCCCGCAGGACGACGCGCTCACCGAGCACCTGCAGAGCGCCATCGACAGCATCCTGAACCTGCAGCAGGCGCCGGGCCGGCCCGCGCCCCCGCCCGCCGCCCGCTCCCCGCCGCCCCGGCCCGAGCCCTACCCGCCCTCCAGCCACAACGGCGGCCTGGGCGCCAGGACGTTGAACAGATAACACCGGGCTGGTCTCCCCTCCCTGTCCCCCCAGCTCCTGCGGAGGGGCCGGGGTCCCCTGAGTGTTTCTTGCCTAAGTTATTTGAGTCACAAAAGCCTCTCTTCCCCCACCCGCTTGGGCGGGGTCGCTGGGTGGGGTTGTGGATTTGGGGGAGGGGGCTGTACATGTAACCTGCCCCCCAAAGAGGGGTAACCTGGTGTGTCACTCCCCGTTTCTCCCCCCGCGCCCCGGACATGCGTGTGTCTGCCAGGGATGGGGCGCTCTGCTCCCACTGCTCACCGTGTCCGGCCCGGCTTGTCTGTGGCCTCACCCGTCCCAGCCTGGAGGCGCTCCGCGGGAGGGGGGTCCTGGGCCGCTCTCAGCCTTGCAACACCGCCGCCCACAGGCAGCAAAGGGAAACGCAGGGAAGGGGCGGCCTGAGCCCGCTTTGCAGGATCCGCTGCGGGGCGCCTGCCACTTCCCCGGGTGTTATCTATCCCCTCCGACCAGTGAGCCAGAGCTCCAGCCTCCCGCCCCGCCACTGATATCCGAGCACCTCCAAAACAGGAACCGGGGTCCCCCTCCCGCCCCCGCCCCACCAGTCTTCCCTCCGTTCTTCCTGCCGCCAGCCACCCGCCAGATTCTGAAATCTCGGAGACAAAACTAGTACTGTAAGATAAATTTTTGTACTGTATTTATTGTGTATAACGATTTTTTTAATGGAGAATTCTGTACATTTAGAACTCTTGTAAATTAAAAACCAATCTTTTTTTTTTTAAACTACCGACGCCCCCCCTCAGCCCTTTGCTTTTGTGTCTTTGGGGTTGGAGACTGGAGGTTGGGGTGAGACCCGGGTAGGGAGTGGGGGAGGGGACGGCTTATCCCGCATGTGTTTGTTGAGCACCCACTGGGTGCCAGGCCCTGTCCTGGGCACAGGGTGCAGCATGAACCAGGAATCCTGCCCGGAGGGAGAGGGGGGGCAGGTTGGGGACAGACTTAATGAAGGAGGAAGGCTGAACAGCTCAACCAAACAGGTGTGTTTTTCTTTTAATTTAAATATATATATTTCAGAGAGGAAAGGGAGAGAGATGGAAACATCAACGATGAGAATCATTGATCGGCTGCCGCCTGCATGCCCACACTGGGATCGAACCCACAACCTGGGCATGCCCTGCCTGACTGGGGATTGAACCGTGACCTCCTGCCTCATAGGTCGATGCTCAACCCCTGAGCCATGCAAGCTAGGCCAGGCAGGTTTTTTTTGTTCTTTGTTTTTTGTTTTAAAGAATATTTTGTTGATATTTAGAGATAGGAAGAGGGATCAGAACATTGAACAGCTGCCTCATGCTCTTTATGAGGGTCAAACCCGCAACCCAGGCATGTGCCCTTGACCGGAATTGAACCCGGGAACCTTCAGTCCACAGGCGGCCGCTCTATCCACTGAGCCAAGTCTATTAGGGCAGGGTCTTTTTTTTTTTTTTGTCTTTTTTCTTCAATTCCCATCTCCCCAACCCCTGTCCTTTGCTAACCACCAGTTTGTTCTCTACGTTCACGGATCTGTGTCTGTCCTGTTTCATTTATTCATTTATTTTGTTTTCTCCGAGATCCTGACTCGTGTTAATGTTCCTCGGTCTCCTGAAACATGAAAGTAACGGATACTTCAAGCCTCTGGTCACAGCATTTTTGCCAAATGATCGGAGTGCCCCCTCGTTGTACGTGTGTTTCTGTTGAGAGACAGTTTACTAATCTATTGTATATTGTGGATTCCTTACCACGACCAACGGCGCCCCGAGTCACACCCAGGGGTCTCATCCCTCCAACCCCTATTTTCTCCTCTCTGGGCTTGTGCTTAAGACACCAGCCAGCGAGGGGCAGGGCAGGGGCGGTGGGGGGGTGAGAGGCAAGGTCAGAGAGAACAACGGGGAGGGGGGGCTGTGGTGTAGGAGCTTGGGGTACAGGAAGGACTCTGCCCTCCCCTGAGCGAGGAGGGAGCCTCCAGACAATTCTGAGCAGAGGGCTGGGAGCTGACAGGGCCCCGGCGCCCTCTGGTGGTCGCATGGGGAATAGGCGCGAGGGAGGCATCCGCCCGGCCGGGTCCCTGCAGTACAGGTGGCTGAGGTTTGCGGCTGGCGCCCTCTGGTGGCCGCATGGGGAACAGACGCGAGGGAGGCATCCGCCCTGCCGGCCGGGTCCCTGCAGGAAGGAGTGCAGGTGGCTGAGGTTTGCAGCTGGACTGCAGTTCTCTGCAAGCCCCTGGCGGTGTCTGTGGCGGGGAAGCTGACCCATGGGGCCCCCGGGGGGTGACCCCGCCCTGCCGGGATGCACAGAATAAAGCGCTGAAGGAGAGCGCAGTGCCCTCATGCTCCGGGAAGACCCCACGTGGTCACGCAAAACAGTTGGCCGGTGATTTCCACGGGCTCCAGCTGCGCGCACCCCGAGCAGAGGAGCGCGACTAACATGTGGGGAGCACTCCCCGTGCGCGCGGCTCCAAGCCCTTCACCTGTATCTTACTTTGTACTCGTGTGTGAGAGTCCATAACCCCATTGCACGGATGAGGAAACTGAGGCCCAGGGATGCAGTCAGGGGCAGGCTGGGCTGCATGCCGGGCTGCCTGGTTGTGAGCCCACCAGCTTCACCTCTGGGAACCAGCTACCAGGGAGGGGGGGCGAGGGGGCAATAGAGAGACACCCCCCCACCTCGACCCCCATCCCCACCCCTGGGGAGGGGCCCCAAACTGATCCCCGTTCCTTAGAGTGAGCCGTGGGGACCAGATGCTGGGAGCAGCCTGGTGGGTGTCTGTGGGGCCCCACTCTCCCAAATCTGGGAAAAGGCCTCCAAGTTTACCTTGGGCCCCAGGTAACCAGAGCCCCAAGCAGGACTGAAGCCCAAGACTAAAGAGCCCACAGTTCATTGAGAAACTCCAAGGCTCACTGGCTGCTTTCCCCATTTTTTTAAACTTTTTTTTTTTAATTGATTTCAGAGAGGAAGGGAGAGGGAGATAGAAACATCAGTGGCGAGAGAGAATCATCCATCGGCTGCCTCCTGCACGCCCCACACTGGGAATTGAGCTGCAACTGGGCCTGTGCCATGACCGGGAATCGAACCGTGACCTCCTGGTTCATAGGTCAATGCTCAACCACTGAGTCACGCCAGCCGGGCTCCATTTAAAAAAATATATATTTATTGGTTTGTTGTTGTTTTTTTTACAGAGAGGAAGGGAGAGTTAGAAACATCAATGAGAGAGAAACATTGATCAGCTGCCTCCTACACACCTGCTCCTAGGGATGTGCCCACAACCAAGGTACACGCCCCTGACCGGAATCGAACCTGGGACCTTTCAGTCCGCAGTTCGATGCTCTATCCACTGAGCCGAACCGGTCAGGGCTCCCACTGATTTTTAGAGAGGGTGGAAGGGAGGGAAGAGGGGTAGGGAGAGAGGGAGAAAGAGATTTTAATGTGAGAGAGACATCAATTGGCTGCCTCCCACCCTTGCCCAGGGATTGAGTCTGCAATCAGATACATGCCAGGAATTGAATCCTCAACCCTTTGATGCAAACGCAGATGCTCTAACCACTTAGCAACACCGGCCAGGGCATTTGTCTTCAAATGCCTGAAATAACACCCACGGGATCACAAGAGAAGCTAGTTATCTGTTTGTTAAGAAATCCATGACCTGTGACACGCCAATGGGCTGTTCTGAATTGCACATTAAAGAGGCAGAGTGCCCTGACCGGTTTGGCTCAGCGGATAGAGCATCGGCCTGTGGACTGAAGGGTCCCGGGTTCGATTCCGGCCAAGGGCAATTGGTTGCAGGCACATCCCCGGTGGGGGAGGGGTGCAAGAGGCAGCTGATGGATGTTTCTCTCTCATCAATGTTTCTAACTCTATCCCTCTCCCTTCCTCTCAGTAAAAAAATCAATAAAATGTATTTTTAATTAAAAAATAAAATAAATAAATAGACAGCGAGCTGGGCTGGGTGGTGACGAGGAAACAGTTGCCGCGGAGCGCTGGAAATCGGCTTCCTCCGGGGCTGCTGGCCTGTGGCTCAGACCGAACGTCAGCTCCAGAGGTCGCTGTTTCCTAGGCCAAGTTCACGGGCCCCCCTGGGTTTTATCTGAGGACAGAGGGTAAACTGAGGCCGGGAAGCCTCCGGGGAGAGATGGAAGCAGAGCTCTGCCGCCCGGCAACCTGGCTGGACTCCTTGGACCAGAGAGACTCCCTTTCTGACTTCCCTTCAGCTTCCCCGTCTGAGAAATCAGACCGATAACGTAATAAATGTAAGAGCAGGACCTCGCCTCCCGGGGAAAAGAGATGGCCCGTGACAAGCTTTCGGAATAGGCCTGGGCCCTGGCTGGCCAGCTCAGGTGCTTAGAGCTCCATTCCCTATGCCAAGGTTATGGGTTCGATCCCTGGCCAGGGCACATACAAGAAGCAACCACCAACGAATGCACAAATAAGTGGAGCAACAAATCGATGTTCCTCTCTCTCCCTCCCTCCCTCCCTCCCTCTAAAAATCCTATATAATAAAGAGGTGATATGCAAATTAAACCTCACGCCCTCACAAGATGGCTGCCTACAACCAGGCCGGCAGGGCGGTTAGTGAGAGATGACCAAAGGACTGAACAGCAGGCTGTATGGGGCGACCAGGCTTGCAGGGGGAGGGGGATGGAGGAGGGAGCAGTCAGGGGCACCCAGACCAGCAAGGAGGGACTGTTAGGGGTGACCAGGCCAGTGGGGGGTTGGGGGGGATGGGAGGTGCAGTTAGGGGCTATCAGGCCAGCAGGGAGGGGACAGTTAGGAGTGACCAGGCAGGCAGGTGAGTGATTAGGAGCCAGTGGTCCAGGATCATGAGAGGGATGTCCAACCGCCTGTTTAGGGGATTGGGCCTAAACCCTCAGTCAGACATCCCCTGAGGGGTCCCAGATTGGAGAGGGGACAGGCTGGGCTGAGGGGGACCCCCCCCCTGCACGAATTTTGTGCACCGGGCCTCTAGTGAATAATAAAACTAAGAGAAAGGAATAGGGCCTGCCTCTTAGTGGTAATATTGTTAGTTACTGCTAAGTTCCACCTATTTACATATATGGCCATCGCTGCATCCAGCCAATTAGGTATTTCCGGAGAGCCTGCTGTGTGCCAGGCACCATTCTAGGCGCTGGGGCAACAAGAGTGAACACAACACACCCAAGTCCCTGCCCTCGGGGAGATTAAAAATAAGTAACAGAGCCCTAGCCGGTGTGGCTCAGTGGGCAGAGCGTTAGCCTTCGGTCTGAAGGGTCTGGCCAAAGGGCCATGTTCCTTAGTTGCAGGCTGGATCCCCCTGCCCTGGTCTGGGCATGTGCAAAAGGCAACCAATCGATGTTTCTCTCTGTGTGTCTCTCCCTCTCCCTTCCACTCTCTCTAAAACTCAACGGAGGATTAACAACAACAACAACAATTAACATTAAAAATAAAAATCCACTTTAGAAAAGAAGTAAGCCCTAACCGGTTTGGCTCAGCGGACTGAAGGAGGGTTTCGGGTTCGATTCCCGTCAAGGGCATGTACCTTGGTTGCGGGCTTGATCCCCAATAGGGGGCGTTTCAGGAGGCAGCTGATGGATGTTTCTCTCTCATCGATGTTCCTAACTCTATCCCTTTCCCCTTTTCTCTGTAGAAATCAATAAAATATATATTTTTAAAAATAGAAGTACTGAAACCGGTGTGGCTCAGTGGATAGAGCGTCGGCCTGCGGACTGAAGGGTCCCGGGTTAGATTCCAGTAGGGGGCATGTACCTTGGTTGCAGGCA